TTAAAATGCTTATAAAAAAAAATTGTGCCTATGTATTTTTAATATTTTTCAACTGATATTGTAACAATATATCAGGAGCCTTGTATTAAATTTTTACACTTTTTGGCCCAACAGATAAAACTTAATTAATATTTATAGAAAAAAAAAACTAAAAAAATTGAAAACTGAAAATGTCCGTAAACGGCTCAAAAAGTGTCAAAATATTTTCAAAATTGTAGGGTGTATAGGAAATGCTAATATAAACATTCAGTGAAATTTTCATGTATCTACAGTAATTCGTTTTTTAATTACAACAAAAAAAGGAAATTGCCACATGAGAAATCGAGTGAATATCCAATGTTGTAAAAATTTGAATTTCAAACGCTCATAAAAATTTAATTTGACTTTCCGGTAGAAATTTTTTTATTGATAAGGGTAGACAATCTTATGAGTAATCTTGTATTAGATTTTCAAATCTTAGATTTAAAAAGAAAAATTTTTACGAATTCTTAACTCAAAATAATTTGCTAATTTTCGTGATTTTTCCATATTTTGTCAATTTTTGAACTTTAAATGCTTAAAAAAAAAATTTGTGACTAAGGATTTTTAATATTTTTCATCTGCCTTTGAAACAACATATTAGGAGCCTTCTATTAAATTTTCAAGCTTTCGCAACCAACAAATAAAATTTTATTGATATTTCTAGAAAAAAAACTAAAAAAAAACTAAAAATGAAAATGTCCCTAAACTGTTCAAAATAAATCAAAATATTTTGAAAATGTTATCGTGTATAGAAGATGCAAATATAAACAACCAGTGAAAATTGCATGTACCTACGGTCATTTGTTTTAAAGTTACACCAAAAACCAAATTCAATTTTCTGAAAAATCGATTTTGCGTAAAAATTCCCGTTTTTCCTTAATTTTTCTTTTGTTTTTCCCGGCGCTCTTGAAAACTACTGGGAAATTTAAATTTTGACCTCCCCAATGCACCAACGATATTCACTTTCCAATCGAACAAGATACTGAAGTCGAAAATCGAAGCATTATTTCGACTACTTATCGTGTACACAGACACAAAAAAAATAAAAAATAAAATAAAAAAAAAAACACACATCATTGTAAAATCAATACATTCATCGTTTCACTCAGAATCTAAAAAAACACACATCATTGTAAAATCAATACATTCATCGTTTCACTCAGAATCTAAAAAAATGAAGGAAATAATGTGAGTTAACACATGAAACTTAAGAGGATTGGGAGCGGCGATTTTCTGTCTTTGTCTAACACACGTGCAACATAGGATTATAGACGTGTTCTATTTCCAACGTACCGATTAATCTAGTGTAGCGATAAGAATTCTGAAAACAGATTTGAATTTGTCGTCAAGTCTTCTTGAGATCGACTTTCCCACATCTTTGCTTTTTTGATTTAACCTTCTCCAAAAATTGAAATATGTCAATTTTTTAATTACTCTAGTGAATATATCGTTTTTTAGGATTTTTGGAGGATAATATCAAAAATGTGAGAAAGTCGATCTCAAGTAGACTTGACGGCAAATTCAAATCTGTTTTCAGAATTCTAATCGCTTCACTAGATTAATCGGTACGTTGGAAATAGAACACGTCTATAATCCTATGTTGCACGTGTGTTACTGTGTTAGACAAAGACAGAAAATCGCCGCTTCCAATCCCCTTAAGCAACATATTTGTATTTATATTACACACATTATTCTGAAGTATAATTGTACATTCAATACAAACAAATAATTATAATTCACTTTTTTTTAAATGTACCTACCTACTATGTCATTTTACTCGGAGTGTTTACTGGGCAATAGAAATAAATTATAAAACTTTTAGAATTTAATAGTTTAATCAATTTTTTTATTGTAAATAACAATACTTTAGAAATATATTTTAACATAATTTATATAATAATATAAATGTGAAAATAATATAATAAAAAACACTGGTATGTCATTTTGTCTGATATAATACAAGCTTTTTTCAAAATGTTTATGGCAAAAGTATTATAATAAGCTTATTTATAAAACAATATTGTAGTATAGCTTGCCTTTTCATGTTCAACTTCGAATAAAAAAAATTGAAGGAACATAAAGTTTTATATTTTAAAAATGATTAAAAAAAACTGTTGATAAGACTAAAAACACATTTTTGTAATCAAATTCTCTGATAAGGTCAAAACCGGTGGTGGTCACCAGGGCCGTATTTACGCCTAGGCCCGTGAGGCCCGTGAACCGTGAGGCATTTATGTAACTGCATAAATTAATATTATATAATATTTAATAGTAATATATATAATTTTTAATATTATAGATAACGGATCGCTACCAATTTTCCCAATTTTTTTTCTCCCCAATAATTAATTATCCAATCATATTCATTCCAAAAAATACATTTTCGTCCAAAAACTATTAGTCCAAATTAGAAAATGGCAAATAAATAATTATCCCAATTAGTTTATTCCCAAAATTATTGTCCCAATACACATTGTTCCAATGTTGGGAGAATGTTCAGTTGGATGATAAAAAAAAATTATAAAAAAAACATCGTACAGTGATGCCGTGCTAGCGGCACTCGTCGCTACGCTCCTCGGCGCCGTCGCTCCGCTCCGCAAATCGAAAATATCCCCCGACTTGCTGTGCAACACCACGTCAAGTTGGTCATATTGTTCTGTGGTCATAGGGTAACCACAGGCTAACCACTCTTATCTGTCCTTATAATTTTTTGGACAACAAAATGAATTGGGAGAACTGGTCATTGGAATTATGTACCATTGGGAGGATATTACTATTATTAATAAATATTAATTAATTGTTAGATTATTAAGATTATGTATCGAATATTTTGGTTTCTAAATAACAATTATCCCAAATATGTATGTATATAATAAACAATTCTCCCAATTAACTTCTATTCCAAAATTGGGAAAATTGGACATTGGGACAACAATATTTTGGGAGAATTTGGATACTCCCATAGATAACATAGGTATAAGATTAAATATTTATAATTATTTTTTTTGTTTATAATAACTATTGACCTAATTTCTTTAAATGAAATAAATTTATTAGAAATAATTACAACATTTTTTTTTTTCTTGGGGTAGGGGCAGCATATTTAAAAGGGTCTAGTGCGGCACTTGTTCTAAATCCAGCCCTGGTGGTCACCATAGATATTAAAGTTAAATCTTTAATATCTATGGTGGTCATCTGTATACAATTGTATGTAGGAGGTTATATGTCACGTATTTAAGGCGGATTTGGTTCGTAAATATCAATAATTCTAATCAAAACATCAATGTGTCATATTACCCTAATATGTCAATATGTCATTGTCATATTCAGCCAGTCTCAACTATTTACAAATAAGTGGTCCCCGGACCAATTTAAGTTTTAGCTAAGGGTCCGTGGCTGCATACTAGTTGGGAACCACTGCCACGGACTAAGATATTATTAAAATGGACTGGACGACTGGTTAGGTAACGGGCATAATATAATGGACAGATTTTATTTTTCAAAAATTACCAAATTATTTTTATGCAATTAAGTTTTTTAAATTTTCAAGATAGCCATTTTGTTGATCATATTTTTGGATTCTCATATGAACTCATATAAGTTAATTATTAATTAATATCTTAATATATATAAATCTCGTGTCACAATGTTTGTCCTCAATGGACTCCTAAACCACTTAACCGATTTTGATGAAATTTTTTACACCGCGTGTAATTTGGTCCAACTTAAAAGATAGGCTAATTTAAAAAGGGAGAGGACCAACCCCGGGAGGTGCTCAAACGGGAATTTTGAGATTTCCGATGGAAATTTTTGTTTATAAATGGTTGCCATGGGTTTTTAAGCTATTGCAATAATAAAAATAATAAAAAAAAAAAACTATTTGCTTTACTTTTTAAATATAAATTGTAATATAATATCTAACTATAAAAATGTGAAATGAAAATCTCTGTACTTCTTATCTCTGGAGCTTCTTATCAGATCTTCTTTATTATTTTTTAAATGAAAGAGTATTTCATGGATAAGGTTTATATGAAAAAAAAAATGTTAGGAAAATCCACCAGTGTATTATATTATATCGGTTGCTATTGGTTAATCGGGCATGTTTTTGATTTGTATCATTATTTTTTGTCAATAGGTATACATATATCATATATATATAATAAATACAAAAAGATCCAATAAGTAGTTCCAGAGTCTGTATAGTTATAGTCCGTGTATTTATATATATATATAATATATATATATATATAAATTAATGTTTGTGGGTAGATTAGACGTCTGGGAAGAAGATAGGTTAATTTACTAAGGGTTAAATTTGGTTTTTTTTCATCGGGTTTTAGTACGGTTAGGTTAGGATAGGATTTTGTATAAAATGATTATAATAATCCACCTTAGGCAAAATGAAGTAAAAACGATAAACTTGGTATAACTTTGATACTTTAGAGTTAAATCATACACTTACGTACAAACAGCACAGGGTACGCGATCTATCGCAGGTAGATTACTGTTGCGAATCAGAATTTTTATTCGGGGCAACGGAAAAGTTAAGATTAATTTTGAACACCGCATACACCGAATATTAAATAACGAATTGAACAAACTTTGAGACATATAGAATTGATACATTTAACGGGGCAACGAAGTGCACGGGATCAGCTAGTAGATATATAATTTGCATTATATACTTTATATATCACTCAAAAATATTCCTACTCATCACCTCCTTAAATAAGCTTCAGATACGCCCCTGCTATTAATTATAGTCTATTAATAAAACTGTGATAAGTGAACGGGAAAAAAATCGTTTTCACCTATTCGAAATGTGACAACTACAGGTTATTCCACATAACTGACTGTAAATGTTTATACATTTATAAATTATAATATTTATTTAAATTTAATAAATCATATGCTGCGAAGACACTAGACAGTTAGTAGCGTGGTGCTAACATACTTATATAGAATATACCTATTATTAGCTATGATAGGAATATCATATCTATACGGAAACTAGCAGGTAGCAAGTGAGGTGCAACTCCAAACACAATCCGTACTACTGGACTAGCACTTTGTTTCTCCGCTGGTGAGTATGCTAGCCCAGTATGGAACCAATCTAAACGTACAAAACATGTTGACACGGCCCTTAATGAGACCTGTAGGGTAATAACCGGATGTCTTAAACCAACGCCACTTAAATATATATATATATCCATTAGCAGGGATAGCACCACCAAGAATGTGGCCACATGCATGGAGAGAACCAAACAAACAATGGACCAAAGACACCCCATGTATGGTTACTCGGGACCACAAAGGAGACTTAAAGCTCGAAGAAGCTTCATTGCTAATTCGTCCACGATCCAAGATTCACCGGAACAACACAGAATACTAAAATGGAGAGAAGAGCTACAATGTGAAAAACCTGCTGAGAATTTACCATGTGGAGGAAACCAACCATGGATTATTTGGAAGACATTAAATAGGCTAAGAACTGGAGTAGCTAAAACAAAAGTAAACATGATGAAATGGGAATACCAGAGAGAACCGCACATACTATGGGAATGTGGCGAAGACCAATCAGATGACCACTTGTGCACACTAGCCCCACCATTAAATCTTGATTTTCATTGACATTTCTATTGAGTATTGATACATCAATATTAAATAAAATGAATATTAATAAAAACATTTTTATAATTTAATATAATATTATGTATAAATATATAGTTATACTGTTGACTAACCCTTCTGATAGTGGACTGTATTTTTGGTATTGGTCTTAGTTGATAGTGAATAGCTGATTAATTGAATACATGATAATTGATAACTATATTATGTGTTATACTGTTATGGGTAATTAGAAAAATGTATTGAGGTATGAACTTCAACATAATGACAATATTTCTACTAGCAGTTCTTAAAAACTAACAAAATATATCAATAATGAGTATAGGTGGTTCCGGCGAAAATAACTTCTCTTGGTGGTGATAGACGGTGTGGATGATGGTAGTGGTGACTTGATGGTGACGGTTGTGGTGTGGTAGTTGACGATGACGGGAAAAAAAACACAAAACAAAAACTAATAAACACAATCACAATGAAGTACACGGACTGGAGGTACACGCGCAACGATGGCTAACCGGTAACAACTGTCACAGCTATGTATTATAAATTTATAACTATAAGGTTGGGCTGGTGGCAATTTCCTAACCGAAGCAGTAAAGTAAATAAATTCTATAAAGCTTAATAGACAATAGACTAAGTCTATTATACATATTACGTATAGAATGTAGATATTAGGGTTTTGAAGTAATTGTGTATCCATATATTTATTGTATTGAGTATAATATCTTGTCCTGAGTTGTCCATCCCTAATGGTCAATACTTTTTTTTTGTCTCATGTACTTATTAGTTTTATACATAACAATTATTATGTTTTTTTCAGTGTCAAAACGTTTGGAGCATAAAAACACGATTTTAGTGTGCAAAGATGTCATCAAAACCAAGGGTGCTGTTAATACGTGATGATTTTCCAAAAAAAGCCATCGATTTATTACGTACAAGGTATCTAGTTTAATTATTTTCATAATTTATTTTCATTTTTGCAATGCAATGTAACTTTATTATGGTGATTACTTATTTATAATATATAAAAATTCAACATGTAAGTACAATATATTACATGTACTAATATACTATATTAACAGTACTACATTTTTATGTATTATGAATAAGTAATCAACATCATAATAAAGTTACATTTAATTGCAAAAATGAAAATAAATATTGTAGAACACTATAACGTAGTCTACTAGTGTATTAGTATTAATATTGTATACTATAATAATTGAAATAATTTAATATTATAAGTTTGTTAGATTTTTATATTTGGAAATGGTAAGTTAATATTTGAAACGTTAATTTATTGGTAAAACTAAATTTCAACATGGGACTGAGAACGCTCCAACTTGGTAATATTACCTACATCTGATTTAAAAATGTTTGGAATATGTGGGTTGTTTATTTTATTGTTTATATATCGAATAGAATTGGAATAAGCTAATGTATTGAAAATTATAGACAATAGTTTGTTTTGACACGATTTTGTCAAGAAAATATGCGTTTTTTACATTGTACTGTATAGTCATCATGAAACGTTGATATCTATTAACAAAATCTGACGATGCGTCCATGTTATACGATACTACGTGATTATTAATTTGTACTATCAGAATTCAGAACTGAATACTATTGTATGGTTCAATAGTCAATACCCCTGTCAATACTTATGTTTTGAGGAAAAAAGTATGTTTTAAATTGTCACACCCTTAATTGAGCATATAATTGTTATGGCCAATCTCGACGTTGTAAATTTGTTTTAATGTGTGTATTAAACTCGCAATTGATTAAAATAAGGATAAAACAAACATTTCTAAAACAAGTGTTAAAATATAAATTAATTACAGGTGTGACGTGGAAGTGCTCAAACGCAACAAAAATAATAGATTGATAACCACGCAAGATATTGTTAATTGTGTACCGGGCATGTTTTCAATATTCTGTTATTCCGGGGTCCCAATAAACGAACAGGTCCTAAAAGCAGCAGGTTAGTGTTGGTCGATGATATTATGCTATTAATGTTTCTATATTTAATCATATACATATTATTAATATTAAATACGCATAAATACTTTTACTTGTTTTGAGGTGATTACAAAATTTTCAGTTTCCAATATTTTTAGATTTTTTCTATAAATGTCAATAAAATGTTATTAGTATAGTCAAAAAGCTTGAAAATTGAATACAAGGCTCCTAATATATTGTTACATAGGTGGTTGAAAAATATTAAAAATATGCTCATAATACATTATTTTTTAATAGATAAAATGTCACTGTTGGTTTTATAATTTTTAAAATTAAATATTTCTAGCTTATTTAGTCATAAGTCATTGATACCGCTCAAACTTAAAAAGTTGTAGCTATTGTATAGGTATATCTATGAACATTTAATTTTTTTTTATCAAAAGAGTAAAAACTTGGTTGACATTGCAGTATTGCACTTTGGTCCCACCACTGCATCTCATAATCTATAAAAGCAACGTTCTTAATTCTGACTCTGAATCAAGTGTAATAAAAATCACTCTGTAAAAAAAAACAAAAAAAAAAGTTTTTATTTTTAATTTAAAAAAGGTGGGTAAGTGGATGTCGCTCTGCTGTACAGTAGGTTACAAGTGGGTCACTGTGTAATGGATGCTATTAAATTTGAATTCAATGATATAATATCATTGTATAAGAAAAACGATTCTGAGCGAAGACGGTATGTCAGTCTAGGTTTAAGATAAATTATATACAAATCTATGGTATTAAAAAAAAATTGACCTATAATAAATTCTAAATTAATCATATCACATTATCACAATATCCATTAGGTACTTATAACACGTTATACATCAACATCAATAACAAACCCTGATACTATCATCGATATATAATAATACACTTTAGAAGTTTCAAGTAGGTACCCCGTACCCACGAATAATATTATATAATCACAACAAAATAACTAGGTTTTAGATTCTGAGTGAAACGATGAATGTATTGATTTTACAATGATGTGTGTTTTTTAGATTCTGAGTGAAACGATGAATGTATTGATTTTACAATGATGTGTGTTTTTTTTTTTATTTTTTTTTTTATTTTTTTTTTTATTTTTTTATTTTTTTTTTTATTTTTGTGTCTGTCATCACGTTTTAGGACAGTAAAAGTGCTTGGATTTTCTTCATCAGTAGCTTTTCTGATAGGAAAGTGAATCTAGTTGGTACTTTGGGGGGTCAAAAGTATAAATTTCCCAGTAGTTTTCACAAGCGCCGGGAAAAACAACATAAAAATTAAGGAAAAACGGGAATTTTTACGCAAAATTGGTTTTCCAAAAAATCGATTTTGGTTTTTGGTGTAACTCTAAAACAAATGAACGTATATACATGAAATTTTCACTGGTTGTTTATATTTGCATTTTCTATACACGATAACATTTTCAAAATATTTTGATTTATTTTGAACTGTTTAGGGACATTTTCATTTTTCATTTTTTTTTAGTTTTTTTTCTAGAAATATCAATAAAATTTTATTTGTTGGTTGCGAAAGCTTGAAAATTTAATAGAAGGCTCCTAATATGTTGTTTCAAAGGCAGATGAAAAATATTAAAAATCCTAAGTCACAATTTTTTTTTATAAGCACTTAAAGTTCAAAAATTGACAAAATATGGAAAAATCATGAAAATTAGCAAATTATTTTGAGTTAAGAATTCGTAAAAATTTTTCTTTTTAAATCTAAGATTTGAAAATTTAACACAAGATTCCTTATAAGATTATCTACCTTTATCAAAAAAAAAAATGTCTATAAGAAAGTCAAATTAAATTTTTATGAGCGTTTGAAATTCAAATTTTTACAACATTGAATATTCACTCGATTTCCCATGTAGCGATTTCCTTAGTTTGTTGTAATTCAAAAACAAATAACTGTAGATACATGAAAATTTCACTGAATGTTTAAATTAGCATTTTCTATACACCATACAATTTTGAAAATATTTTGACTCTTTTTGAGCTGTTTATGGACATTTACAGCTTTCAATTTTTTTTAGTTTTTTTTTCTATAAATATCAATAAAGTTTTATCTGTTGGGCCAAAAAGTGTAAAAATTTAATACAAGGCTCCTAAAATACTGTTACAATAGCAGTTGAAAAATATTAAAAATACATAGGCACAGTTTTTTTTTATAAGCATTTAAAGATCAAATTTTGACAAAATTTATCAAAATCTCGAAAATTATCAATCATTGAAATTAATAAATTATAAAATATTCAGTTTCTATAGCTAAGGATTGCAAATTTAAAACAAAGGTTCTCATAAATAGTTCATACTGTAACCAAAAAATCTAAAAAATATATGAACACAGTTATTTTTTACAGACATTTTAAATTCAAATTTGGACGAAATTACATATTAAAAAACCTAGAATAACTATTTTAGTTATTTTGTTGTGATCGAATAATATTATTCGTGGGTACTTGAAACTTCTAAAGTGTACTATTATATATCTATGATAGTATCACGGTTTTGTTGATGTATAACGCGTTATAAGTACCTAATGGACATTGTGATATGATTAATTTGGAATTTATTATAGGTACCTATTATAGGTCAATATTTTGTTTAATACCATAGATATGTATATAGTATGTCTTAAACATAGAATGACATACCGTCTCCGCTCAGAATCGTTTTTCTTATACAATGATATTATATCGTTGAATTCAAATTTAATATCATCCATTATACAGTGACCCACTTGTAACCTACTGTACAGCGGAGCGACACCCACTTGCCCACCTTTTTTAATATGAAATTTCGTCCAAATTTGAACATAAAATGACTATAAAAATAAACTGTGATTGTATATTTTTTAGATTTTTCGGTAAGATAATTAACTACTTACGTGGAATCTTGTTTTAAATTTTCAATTCTTAGCTATAAAAACTGAACATTTTATAACTTATTAATTACGATGATTAATAAATTTCGAGATTTTGAAAAATTCTGTCAAAATTCGATGTTTAAATGCTTATAAAA